TTTCTCCCTTCCTTTCTTTCCAAATTACTACCACTAACCCCACTCTGTCTCCACCCCTTTTCTCTCTTTCCCCCCTATCTACCTCTGTCTCTCTCTCTCTACCTCCTCTTCTCCATTCCTCCCTTCCACTCGCCCTTCCTTCCTATCTAGGGCCCGTCGTCTACCGCCACGACGGGCTTTCCTTACTAGTCTTGCATAAATTTAATGTGTCATGTTAATATTTGGGCTTTGCTTCACTTCTGTTTACTAGTAGACTTCTGGTTCATTCTAAGACCCAAATCGCATTTCATTATTTATTGAATGTCCCATTTTGTCGAGACACTCTGTGATGAGGGGAGGGGCTGTGGCTAGTGAGCAGAGCCATCTGCTTGGCATGCAGAAGGTCCCAGGTTCAATCCCCAGATCTCCAGTTAAAAAGGCCAGGTAGGAGGTGATGTGAAAGACGTCAACCCAAGGCCCTGGAGAGCTGTAAAGAGGGGCCGTGGCTCACTGGCAGAGCCTCTGCTTGGCGTGCAGGAGGTCCCAGGTTCAATCCCCAGCATCTCCAGTTAAAAGGGCCAGGTAGGAGGTGGTGTGAAAGACCTCTGCCTGAGACCCTGGAGAGCAGCTGCCAGTCTGAGTACTCAAAACTTGAGTTTGATGGACCAAGGGTCCGATTCAGTAGAAGGCAGCTTCCTGTGTTCATCTTCTGCTTTTTGGTGGTGATAGAAAGTGCCATCGAGCTATAGCTGACTTATGGCAACCCCTCACGGGCTTATCAAGGCAAGAGACATTCAGAGCTGGTCTGCCGTGGCCTGCCTCTGCGTAGCAACCCTGGCCTTCCTTGGTGGTCTCCCACCCAATTGCTAACCGGGACCGACCCTGCTTAGCTTCCGAGATCTGACAAGATCACTGGGCCAGCTTCCGGGAAGGACTCTCTTTCTGAGAAAGGTGCAGCAGCTCCTAAAAGTCCTTATAAGTTGCAGAAGAGACGGGGCAAGGAGAAGTGAAGGCTGAAGGACTCTGAGTTGTGCCTTTGAAAAAAGTTTAAAATTTGATGCTTGGGGGTATTTCTTGACTAAGTTTGTAAAGGGGCTAGCGGGATGAAGACTTGATGTTTTGTATAAGCTGATTAGAAGATCTCCTCTCTTGGGTTTTTAGGTATTAGTGGGTATCTTTACTTTGTCCCTAGGAGCTGCGGTGGCTCAAGTGGTTAAGACGCTGAACTGCAGGCTGTGGAAGGTCAGTCGTTCAGCAGTTTGAGACCCGAGTGTGCCGCATGACGGAGTGAGCTCCCGTCTCTAGTTCCAGCTCCTGCCAACCTAGCAGTTCGAAAGCAAGAAATGGCAAGTAGATAAATAGGGACCACTTCGGTGGGAAGGTAACAGCGTTCCATGCGCCTTGGTCATGCCGGCCATGCCGGCCACATGACTACGGAAACAGTCTTCAGACAGCGCTGGCTCTTCGGCTTTGAAACGGAGATGAGCACCGCAACCCTAGAGTCGGATTCGACTGGCTTTCGAGCAAGGGAACCTTTACCTTTCCCTTACTTTGTCCCTAGTGTAGTCCCCTACCCTATTTCTGTTACAGTATGTAGTGTTTATAAAAATGTAATCCCCTTTGGGGGGCCAAAAAAGAAAAAAGATCAGTGGGCCATCAATGTCAGGGCAGGGGTCCCAGCTTAAATGCCGGAAACAGACTTTCTTTATTTATTTATTTATTTATTTATTTATTTATTTATTTATTTCGTGTTTATGCCCCGACCTCCCCGTGGGCTCAGGGCGGCTTACAGGGGCCAGGCGAAGGCCCCTGTAAAGGAAAAACGGGGCTCGAATGGTGGAAGGGACTGGTGGCTCATGGTGGGACAGACCCGTCTGAACCCAGCAACCAGACCATCGTGCCAACCCCCCCCTTTGCATTCCAATTATCACTGATAGTCCTCAGAAGGCCCCTCCCCCCAGAGCACTAATCGCCACCTTGACGTCACACTAATGCTCCCTGTAAACTGTGGAGTCCTGTGAGCAAAATTCTACTTTGTGAGCTCCTGGCATTAAAGTGGTGAGCGGGCCATTTGGCTACTGTGTAAATAAGTTTGCTGTGGAGCCCTCCTTCCTGAGCTCAGACAAACATGTGTCAGCTGGAGGCTAAAAAACTGTGAGCTAGCTCGCACTCACTCAGCTTAGAGGGAACACTGCGTTTGGCCCGTTCGGCCGTCGAGGGGGCCTTACCCGTTGCGATGCCGTCGAAGAGAGACAGCACCCTGATCGGCCTCCTCTTGGCCGCCGGAATGGCCGGGTAGATTTTGGGTGGCTCCTGCCGAGAGAAACGGACAGAGAGGGCAGTGAGAAAAGTCCCCCGCTAGCCATCCCGCCATGGCCACAGGCACGGGTCAGCGGCCCACAGCGTGGCACGTCAGAGCACTGCTGAAGGACTGTGGTCCCAAACCACTGGTAAGCCCAGCCTACATAATTTGTACAGGATGCAACTCAGGTGTGCTGGCTGTACTAATCAGAAGAAGAAGATAAGGGATTGGGTTTATACCCCATGGCCCTTCACTACCGAAAGGTGTCTCAGAGCGGCTGACAATCTCCTTTCCCTTCCCCTCCCCGCAACAGACACCCTGTGAGGAAGGCGTGGCTGAGAGAGCTCTTTTGAGAACTGCTTCTGAGAGAACAGCTCTGAGAGAACTTGTGACTGGCCCAAGGTCACACCAGCAGCTGCATGCGGAGGCGTGGGGGATCAAACCCGGTGCTCCCAGATTAGAATCCGCATTCCTAACCACTACACCAAACTGGCTTTACAGTCTCTTCCTCTTCTTCTAAAGCAGAGACTCTTCCACTGAGCCATGGCCCTTATTATTCCAATCCTTTATATGTCACTGTCATCCTCTAAGGCAGCCCATCGACCGCTCCTCGGCCTGGGCAAACGGTGCTCCTCCACCTGGCAGTCGCGCAGTATTTCTGGCTCCCACACTCCCCCCCCCCCTTACGTATTCCTGCTCCTGGTCGCTGGTGAAGAATTCGTTCAGGCGCATGTTCCAGTCGTGTCGCCGCTGCAGGACGCCGTGCCTCTTCTGCGGTTGGCACATGTAGCAGCTCCAGGGCTCCTGCTCCTTGGCCGCGGCGGAGGAGCCCGGCCCCACCAGGGCTTCCAGGCAATCCACACAGAAGCACCTGCGACGGGCGAGAGAGAGAGAGCTCTGAATGCCGGCTGGGAAGCAGGCAGCGGCCGACCCAAGGGAGCAGAGGACAGGGTGTGCCCCCGGGTAGGAAAGAGCCACCCACCGAAAGCAACTGGCATTGCTACACAACAGCAGCTCACTCCCTTCGCAGCAGATGGCACAGTAGGTCTGGTACCCGTCCTCGTCGTACATGTAGAAAAGCTCCAGGAACCGATCCTGCAAGGAGGGACACAGGAGGATGGGGGAAAGGATTGCCTGGGAAGCAAGTCACAGTCGACCCATGGCGACCACAGGACCTTGGGGTTTTCAAAGCAAGAGGCGTTTCAGAGGTGGTTCTCCGTGGCCTGCCTGTGTGGCAACCCTGGACTTCCTTGGTGGTCTCCCATCCAAGGACTAACCAAAACCAACCCTGCTTAGCTTCCTGAGATTTGGTGACTTTGGGCTAGCCTGAGCTGTCCGGGTCAAAGCAAGAGACGTTCAGAGGTGGTTTGTCACTGCCTGCCTCTGCGTAGCAACCCTGGACTTCCTTGGTGGTCTCTGATCCAAGGACCAACCAAAGCCAACCCTGCTTAGCTTCCAAGATCTGTCAAATTTGGGCTAGCCTGAGCTGTCTGGGTCAAGGCAAGAGATGCTTAGAGGTGGTTTGCCCTTGCCTGCCTCTGCATGGCAACCCCTGGACTTCCTTGGTGGTCTCCTATCCAAGTACTAACCAAAGCGAACCCTGCTTAGCTTCCTGAGATTTGGCGACTTTGGGCTAGCCTGAGCTGTCTGGGTCAAGGCAAGAGATGCTTAGAGGTGGTTTGCCCTTGCCTGCCTCTGCATGGCAACCCCTGGACTTCCTTGGTGGTCTCCTATCCAAGTACTAACTGGGACCGACCCTGCTTAGCTTCTGTGATCTGATGAGATCAGGCTAGCCTGGGCCATCCAGGTCAGGACAAGAGACATTCAGAGGTGATTGGCCTTCGCCTGCCTCTGCGTAGCAACCCTGGACTTCCTTGGTGGTCTCCCATCCAAGTACTAATCAGGGCCGACCCTGCTTAGCTTTTCTGAGATCTGATGAGATCAAGCTAGCCTGGGCCATCCAGGCCAGGACGAGAGAGAAGCAAAGGTGGTCTGCCCTTGCCTGCCTCTGCGTGGCAACCCTGGACTTCCTTGGGGGTCTCTCATCCAAGGACTATCCAGGACTGACCCTGCTTAGCTTCCAAGATCTAACAAGATTGGGCCAGTCTCCGCTAATAGAGCTGCTACCAGGCTATAAATAAGCTAAAAGGCAGGTTATACTTAAGCTAATTAAATCAATCAAACCAATGGAATCCCGGGCGCCTGAGCCACTCACCTGGCAGGTCCGGCAGAGACCTCCTTCGAACAACGGGTGGAAGGTCACAGTGTTTTTCTTCCCACACGACAAGCAGCTGTCTGTGCAAGCAATCAACAAACCAGCGGGTCAGCCGATTTCATACAGTAATTTCTTACGCAAGCTACACCTAACGTGGGGTCGAGAGCTACGCAGGTGCACCATGGTTGTGGATGTCCTCTGGCATTTTTGCATTCCTGGGATTAGGGATGTGCGTTCGGTTCATCTGAGCCAAATGCACCCCCGAAAATGGCCCATTCAGGCCCCTTTCGGGCTGCTGCAGGCCGATTCAGATTCTCTGATCTGAATCAGCTTGCCGCTGAATTGCCGCCCATTACATCCTATGGGCCATTGAAGTCAATGGCGAAAACATAGGGTATATTCTGGGGGCTGGAGGGGAGGGGGTTTGAGGGAGAGGCTCCAAACTCACAGGGTAGCTGCTGGAGCCTCTCTCCAAGGTACCCACCAGGTTTCAAGAACATTGGACCAGGGGGTCCAGTTCTACGGGCCCCCCAAACAGGTTGCCCCCATCGCCTCCACTGTTCTCTATGGTGGGGGAAAGTAGGATATAATGGGGCCGAAATTGACATTCGGCTGGCTGAAAGACTCCCCAATCTTCTACTCCCGAAATTGACATGCGGGCTTCTTTCTGCCAGCCAAAATTGATTCTGCCCGATTCAGCCGAATCTGTCCGAATTTTCTTTCTTGTCTTTTCTTTTCTTTTTTGCACACCACTACCTGGCATACACAACAAGATGCTCCCTCTAAGCCACTGGTGGCGAACCTATGGCACGGGTGCCATTGGTGGCACTCAGAGCCCTCTCTGTGGGCACGCGTGCCATCGGCCCAGGCAGGCCCAGACCATCATTAAAGTGTCGAATTCTCTGCCAAATAATTTTAAGTATATGAAAGCATTTCGGATTGCTTTCCTTACTTTGTTTGGATCATCTTAAGTTAATGTATGACTTGTTTTTTCTAAAGTAAAACCTCAGTATTCAGGTTAAATTGCCGTTTTGGCACTTTGCGATAAATAAGTGGGTTTTGGGTCGCAGTTTGGGCACTCAGGTCTCTAAAAGGTTCGCCATCGCTGCTCTAAGCCGTGGAGTCTTGTGAGCAAAAATTCTACTTTGTGAGCTAAAGTTGGGAGTGAGCAATTCGGCTGCTGCATAAATCAGTTTGCTCTGGGGCCATCCCTTCCTGAGCTAAGACAAAAGGGTGTGAGCCGGAGGCTAAAAAAGCTGTGAGCTAGCTCACACTAACTCAGCTAAGAGGGAGCACTGGATGACAGAAGGAGACTTGTTTTTTCAGGAAGGGCAAATAGTGTAAGGTTTTACAGGTTCCGCCCTCCTACGCCTAGAAACTGGTCTAATGAGAACAGAAACCAGAGTATTGTTATCCTCTGCAGATCAATGGCTCAAAATTAACTCAAATCCAAAAGGACTCCCCCCCCCAATAAACAGAGATTACGATCAGCCAAGGTGGATTCAAATGACCCAAACTAATTTACAAAAAATGGGACTCGCACCTGAGGATTTATTGGTGCAAAACCAGGGCTATTTTGGGGCAGGAACGCACAGGAACGGAGTTCCAGCTGGCTCCTGAGTTGGCCATGCCCAGCCGGAACTCATTAGCATAATAGGCCACACCCAACAGCAGAAACTCATTAGGATTGGCTACATTAGGGGTGTGTGGCCTAACATGCAAAGGAGTTCCTGCTACAAAAATAGCCCTGGGTTTTGACAACAAACAAGGTAAACAGAATAAGAAGCAAAAAGGTGGGCGAGGCTGGATGACCACACTTCTGGTGGAATGAGGGTGTGGCCTAATATGCTAATGTGCTGTGCTGTCAGGGGTGTGACCTACTATGCTGATGAGTTTCTGCTGTTGGGTGTGGTCTGTTATGCAAATGAGTTCCTGCTGGGCTTTTTCTACCCCTGCGCAAAACAGCATATAGGCATAATTAAACAAAGGATTTGTGATCTAGAGCGCCAAGGGGCTTTAAACCGAGGTCCTTCTTTTCTGGTCCATAATGACTCCAGATATGTAATGAAAATGGCTAAAGACCTGATTTATCTGGATGTGCCTCCCTATAGAAGAGCTCTTACCCTGGCTCGTTGTGCGCCTATTCCCTCTAAGGTTTTAGAGGGAAAATACAGAAAGATACCATACAAAGACAGGTGCTGCCCATGCTCTGCGGGAGAAGTGGAATCGATGTTCCACATGTTCTTCCACTGTCCTTTTCTTCAGGTTTATAGGGATAAGCTTATCGCCCCTCTCTTGGACAGACCAGCACTTGACGCAGACAGTGCTGATCTAGAGAGACTTTTGGCAGAGGAAAATCAGCAGATCTCCAGCCAAATAGCAAAATCCTGCTGGCAACGGGTAAGATTTCACCAATAAGAAGTAGATCGAGTATAACCCTCATTTACCTTTTGCACGACTCATAAGCAGGTTAGTTTTAAACATCTTAGAATTGTTTTGATATAATGGACTGTTAAACTTTTTTATTATATTAATTTATTATATTAAATCATTTTATTATATTAATTTATTGTAGTAAATCATTTCATTAATGGTTTTAAGGTTATGTGTCTATTTCTGGCGCTGAAAAGCTAATTTGCTTGTATCTAACGAACATGTATTATTTTGATAAATGGTCTTTGACCGCAAATCAACATCATTCATTCATGCATGCATGCATGCATGCATGCATGCAGGTTCCATCCTGGCATCTCTCCTCTTCGAGGATCCCATGAGGAGCCTTTCTCTGCTGGGGGGACTGTGTCAGAGGACACCGGGCTGAGCTAGACAGATCACAGTTCTGACTCTGGAATAAAGCAGCTCTAAAGTAACAGCGTTCCGTGCGCCTTGGAGTTATTATTATTATTATTATTTATTTAATTTCTATCCCGCCCTCCCGCCGAAGCAGCTCAGGGCGGCTTACAACAATAAAACAATAAAACAATACCTGTAAAAACATACAATACATTAAAATCACAATATTCCAACATTTTAAATACACAATATAAGATTCACAAGATGGCGACTATAAACACTGGCTCATTCAATCTAATCGTTGAATGCCTGGCGGAACAACTCCGTTTTCACCGCCCTCCGGAACTGACTAAGATCCCGGAGGGCGCGGATCTCCTGGGGGAGCTGATTCCATAACATTGGTGCTATGACAGAGAACGCCCTAGATCTCGTAGATGTTAATTTGGCGTCCCTAGGGCCAGGGGGGACTAATCGATCCTGTAACCCGGATTGCAGTGCTCTCGGGGGAACGTGCGGGGAAAGGCGGTCCCGCAGGTAGGCAGGTCCCAGACCATAAAGGGCTTTAAAGGTCATAACCAGCACCTTGAAGCGTATCCGGAACACTATTGGCAGCCAGTGCAGCGCCTTCAGCACCGGCTGGATGTGCTCCCGCATAGGGACAAAGCTTTAGTCATGCCGGCCACATGACCACGGAAACGTCTTCGGACAGCGCTGGCTCTTCGGCTTGGAAACGGAGATGAGCACCGCAACCCTAGAGTTGGACTCGACTGGCTTTCGAGCAAGGGAACCTTTACCTTTTTAAGGACAGAGCAGGGGTCACGGTGGGGGGAATGAATGTTTCCCTTTAATCTATGAGCGTTTTCGGGGTGTGGCGGGAAAGCATTACCTTCCAGGCTCTTGTTGAGGCTCCTGACTGCAGAGACCATCCGCTCTGGAAAGGAAATGAAAACAGAAGAGGGTGTCAGTGAAGCCCCGACTCCCTGGGGAAGATCCAGAGGCCAGCTGGCTTGTAGAAGAAGAAAAGGAGGAGGAGGAAAAGAGGAGGAGGAGGAGAAGAAAAGAAGAAGAAGAGGAGGAGGAAGAGAAAACAAGAAGAGGAGGAGGAAGAGAAAAGAAGAGGAGGAGAAAAGAACAGGAGAAGGAGGGGGAGAAGAAAAGAACAAGAGGAGGAGGAGGAGAAAAGGAGACGGAGGAGAAGGAGGAGGAGAAAAGAAGAAGAGGAGGAGGAGGAGGAGAAAAGAAGGAGAAGGAGAAGAGGAGGAGCAGATTGGATTTATACCCCGCCCTTCACTACCTGAAAGAGTCTCAGAGAGGCTTCCAATCTCCTTTCCCTCCCCCTCCCCACAACAGACACCCTGTGAGGCAGGTGGGGCCGAGAGAGCTCTCTCTCGAGGACAGCTCTGAGAGACCTTGTGATTGACCCAAGGTCACACCAGCAGGTGCAAGTGGAGGAGTGGGGAAATGAAACCCAGTTCTCCCAGATTAGAGTCCGCCCTCCTAACCACTACATCAAACTGGTAGGGGCTACCTCTCACCTCCAACAGCCCATCACAAAGCGTCCGAAAGCCTGCAGTAAAGCTTTGTCCCATTTCAGGCCACAGGTGGAGGGTGAACGCCATCGCCCGCCTCTGCATAGCAACCGTGCGCTTCCCTGCTGGTCTCCTATCCAAGGACTACTAACCAGGGCTGACCCTGCTCAGCTTCCCAGATCTGGTGATATGAGGCTAGCCTGGGCCATCCCAGTCAAGACACGGGACCTTCAGAGGTCGTCGGCCGTTGCCTGCCTCTCTGCATGGCAACCCCTGGACATCTTTGGTGGTCTCCCATCCAAGTACTAACCAGGACTGATCCTGCTTAGCTTCAGAGATCTGACGAGATCGGGCTAGCCTGGCCCACCCAAGTGAAGGCATGAATTGCAAATGGGCAGACTAGCCCGATCTCATCAGATCTTGGAAGCTAAGCAGGTAGTTTGGTGTCGTGGTTAAGTGCACGGACTCTAATCTGGGAGAACCGGGCGTGATTCCCCACTCCTCCGCTTGCACCTGCTGGATGACCTTGGGCAAGCCGTAGTTCTGAGAAGAGCCCTTCTTGCAAAAGAGCAGTTTCTGTCAGAGCTCTCTCAGCCCCGCCTACCTCACAGGGTGTCTGTTGTGGGGAGGGGGAGGGAAAGGAGTTTGTGAGCCGCTCTGAGACTCCCTTTGGGTAGTGAAGGGTGGGGTATAAATCCAATCTCTTCTTCTCCTTCCTTCCTTCCTTCCTTCCTTCCTTCCTTCCTTCCTTCCTTCCTTCCTTCCTTCCTGTTTGGTGTCGTGGTTAAGTGCGCAGACTCTCATCTGGGAGAACCGGGTTTGATTCCCCCACTCCTCCACTTGCACCTGGCTGGATAACCTTGGGCAAGCCACAGTTCTGACAAGAGCTGTCCTTGAAGAAGAGCCGTTTCCGCCAGAGCTCTCTCAGCCCCGCCTACCTCACAGGGGGTGTCTGTTGTGGGGAGGGGAAGGGAAAGGAGTTTGTCAGCCGCTCTGAGACACCTTTGGGTAGTGAAGGGCCATGGGGTATAAATCCAGTCCCTTCTTCTTCTACTACTACCATGACTGGGCAGCTTACGTAAGAATTTTAAGACACAGGTTAATACAGAGATAAAGCAATGCAGACATAAATATGAATATAAAGTGAATATAAAAATAACCAGGACTGATCCTGCTTAGCTTCCAAGATCTGGCAACTTTGGGCTAGCCTGAGCTGTCCAGGTCAAGGAAAGAGATGCTCAAAGGTGGCTTGCCCTTGCCTGCCTCTGCGTGGCAACTGTGGTCTTCCTTGGTGGTCTCCCATCCAAGGACTAACCAGAAACGACCCTGCTTAGCTTCCTGAGATCTGGTGAACCTGGGCTAGCCTGAGCTGTCCAGGTCAAGGAAAGAGATGCTCAAAGGTGGCTTGCCCTTGCCTGCCTCTGCATAGCCTGTGCCGAAGCAGCTCCGCCTTCCCTTCCCAGGTTCCATCGGGGAGCCATCAAAGCCACCCAGGCCAAGCCCCGAGCACACCGTTCTGCCGAACAGCAAATTGGGCCCCGGAAGCCCCTCTTCCCCCCTTACCTCGGCTCTGGCGCTCCTCGACGGGCTCTTTGCTGCCGTTGCAAACGGTGGTCTTCAGACGCTTGGCGGGGGGCGCAGGCTCCCGGGGGGCAGCCTCTTCCACGGCGCTCCTGTGGATGGCTCCGTTCTCTGCAAGGGAAGGGAAAGCAGCGTTGCTCAGGCACCCGGCCCATTGAGAGGCAGGCTCAGGGGGACCGGAGGGGGAGGGGAGACTTCTTCCCCCACCAAGTCCTCTTCAGAAATGACCTCTTTCACTTCCTGGGAGGCAAGGGACAGTAGCCTCCACACCAGGCTTGCGAAAGTTCCCGTCACCCTGGGTTGACCTAGGGATCACAGAACCATAGAGTTGGAAGGGTCCCTAGAGGCCACCTAGTCCAACCCCCAGCTCAATGCAGGACCAACCTAGGGCAATGGTGGCCAAACTGCGGCTCAGGACTCTTTCACAAATATTGTGCAGCTCCTGGTAGGGCAGCTGGGGAAGCAAAGGGGGGAGGCATGTTTGTTTTCCTCTCCCCCCCCCATCTATTTGCTTTCTTTGTTTCTCTCTCTCTCTTTCTTTCCACCTTGTTCATTCTTTCTTTCCACCTCTCTCTTTTTCTCTCTCTCATACCAAACAAATATTATTGGGCAAATAAATCTCATTATTTTGTTTTTGATTTATTTAGGTATTTTTATCCCGCCCTCCCCGCAAGCGGGCTCAGGGTGGCTAACAAGAGGGCAAACGCCCATATATAAAACGCCCATATATTTCTGGCAGTCTCATTTAATGTTAATTAAAAAAGCAAATTTGGGCCCCGGTCACACGGGCCAGATAACCGGGGGGGGGGGAGGCTGTTTGCCCCGGAGCAAAATAAAGTGCGGTAGTCCGATCACACGGTCCCTCGAGTCTCCGCGGTTAGGCTGTTAGCTGGTGATCACATGGCGATGTTGGAGTGTGGCAAAGAAGCGGCGCGGCAAGAGTTTCGCGTTTGTGTGCATGCGCAGTTCCACGGAGCAGCACTACTTTCAGTTATGTGTTTGTGCGCATGCGCTTATTAAAAACATCCGGTTTGCGACGGGATGTGGACGGGCGGCAGATGCCACGGGATACTAACGCTCCCGCGATCAGATGCCCGCCCCTGCCCCACATTTTCCGGATACTAGTGCACTTTCCACAGTACGTTTTTAGTGCACATCTTCGGTGGGATGCCACGGGTTGGCCACGGGTGCGCTACGCTTCCCAGATGTTGCGGTGTGATCGCGCCCCGAAAATCCGCCTGCCATTCGTGCCTTTTGTGCGGCAAATCCTCCGTGTGACCGGGGCCTTGCATATTTTAAAATAAAAACGTGCGTGTAGTATCTGTTCCTGTCTTTCGGCTCTCCAACATCTGACGTTTATTCTGTGTGGCTGGCCTAGAGCATCCCTGGCATTTGTTTGTCCAGCCACTGGAGAGCCAGTTTGGTGTAGTGGTTAAGTGCACGGACTCTAATCTGGGAGAACCGGGTTTGATTCCCCACTCCTCCACTTGCACCTGGCTGGATGACCTTGGGCAAGCCACAGTTCTGATAAGAGCTGTCCTTGAAAAAGCCGTTTCTGTCAGAGCTCTCTCAGCCCCACCTACCTCACAGGGTGTCTGTGGTGGGGAGGGGAAGGGAAAGGAGTTTGTGAGCCGCTCTGAGACACCTTTGGGTAGTGAAGGGCGGGGTATAAATCCAATCTCCTCCTCCTCCTCCACTAAGACAGCCAGGGAGGGGGAGCTCACCACCTCCCTAGATGTGAAGCCCTGGCAGGCAGGAATGAAAAAAATTCAAGGAGGGAAACTTTGGTCTCATCAGCTTCAGTCTTCTTATGAACTCAGAAAAGGGGAGGGGAAGGAAGCGAACAGGAAAGGTTAGAAAGCGGCCCCAGCCATCCCGATGGGGAAGGAAGGAAACCTGCCTGAGGTCAGAGGGCGGAAGCAGGCCTGGCGTCGGAAGCGGAGGAGGAGGAGGAGGAGGAGGAGGAGGAGATTGGATTTATACCCCGCCCTTCACTACCCAAAGGAGTCTCAGAGCAGGTTAAAGTCTCCTTTCCCTTCCCTTCCCCACAACAGACACCCTGTGAGGCAGGTGGGGCTGAGAGAGCTCTCTCGAGGACTGCCCTTGAGAGAACCAGCGCTGGAAGAACTTGTGACTGACCCAAGGTCACACCAGCAGCTGCACGTGGAGGAGTGGGGAATCAAAGCCGGGTCTCCCAGATTAGAGTCCGCGCTCTTATCCGCTACACCAAACTGGCTTTCTCTACACATACAAGCTTGCCCAACCTCCAGGTGGGGGACCTCCAGACTACGGAGATCATTTCCTCTGGAGAAAATGGCAGCTTCAGAGGGCGGGCTCTAGGGCCTTGTAACCCCACCCCCACCCGAAACTTTGTCCTCCCCAGGCGCCACTGACCCAAATCCCCAGGAATTTCCAAAGCCAGAGTTGGCAACCATGTTCTACAGACACACACCAGGCAGCGGAGGAAAATCCAAAGGGTGTCAACGTGCAAAGAGAAACCAGAGGGCTGGCACTTCCCTCCGCTTGGGCAACTGGTGCTCTCAAGCGTATCCCTGTGGATTATTGGGAATTTACAGAAAGAATGACGCTTAGGCAGGGGTCGTTTCCTGCAGGAGTGCACAGGAGCGGAGCTCCGGCAGTAGAGCCCAGGGGGCGGGCACATGCAACAAGCCCCACCCCCTGCTCCCAGCAGCCCTCAGTCAGAGCAAGAAGCAACCAGGTACGTTGCAGAGCCCCTCCCCCCAGCTCCCCGGTCCAAAACAGTCCAGTGGCACCTTTAAGACCAGGTTTTATTCAGGTACAAGCTCTCCCTCCTCTGCGAGGACAGATCTGCACATCCCCCCCGCCCCCAATAGCTAGCAATCCAAAACAGTCCAGAGGAGCCTGAGCAGTGGGTGTTGCCTACTGATACACGTCCGATGATGTCAGGGGGTGTTGCATATGCAAATGAGTTGTGCTAATGAGTTATGCTAATGAGGTCCTGCACCTCTTTTTCTACGAAACGACCCCTGCGCTTAGGAGCTTCCATTTTAAAATACAAGTTACATTTGCTGTGATTCCTGCCCATTTAGGTTTGGGAAGGGGAAAGTAATTTCTCATTTTCTTTTTGGGCTGCTAAAGTTTCCTGATTAGGGAGGTTTTAAATGTTCACTCTTTTGGCCGGAGCAAATGGATCCAATTCTCGGTCCCAAAGGCAGTTGGGAAGAAAATGGGATGTGTAGGGTTCTATATTTTAAAAGGTAAAAATAGAGGGACAGAATTTTCTCAATTGCACTCAATTATGGCAATAATTATAGAAAGACAATTTCGGAGGCTGCCGTCAGCATGGCCCACGCAGGACAGGAGCAGTGTTCCCTCTAAGCTGAGTTAGTGTGAGCCAGCTCACCGTTCTTTAGCCTCCAGCTCACACATTTTTGCCTTCGCTCAGGAAGGATGGCTCCAGAGCAAAGTAATTTATGCAGTAGCCAAACTGCTTGCTCGCCGCTTTAATGTCAGTAGCTCACAAAGTCGAATTTTTGCTCACAAGACTCCACAGCTTAGAGGGAACATTGGACAGGAGTCTGGGATACTTCTGTGCAGGGTTGTAGGGGTGCGGAGGGAAAAGACCTCCTAGAGTCCCTAGTCCAAAGCAGCCATCTTCTCCAAGAGAACTGACCCCCGTGTCTGTAGCTCGGTTGTAATTCCAAGAGATCCCCCAGGCCTCCCCTGCAGGTTGGCAAGCCAGTAATACCCTACAAATCCCATCCATACATTTCTGCACGAGCGGCTTTTTGGCTGTCCTCTGCTGCCACCTACAGGCCCATCAAGAAACAAACCAAGTAATCCTCTCAAGACAGATCTTGGGCTGTGATCACACACACTCAATAACCCACTTCCGGTCCACTTTCAATGCACTTTCCAACCGGATTCTCCCAGTTCACACAGTAAAACCCAGTTGGGG